GGGCTAGCTGGGCTGACTGGGTGGTGGTATCAGTTGGCAAATGCCGAAGTAAGGTGACCCATGGCAGACTGGGCAGAAGCACCCACCGGCACACATGGACCCGGGGTAGGGCTCCCCGATAGGGCACTGCTCCCACTGACGAGTGTGAGAACTGGGATGTGGGGAGACTAGGTCAGGCAGGGCTACACCACCTGTTGGCCTGCATGTGAGCTGCGCTAGCGGGAGAGCAGCCTGGGCTATCCTATGAGCATACACCATAGGTAAGTGCAAGCTGGTCGGGCTTTGCTGCAGCATCAGCTGACAAGTGCTAGGACTGGGGCAAATCCTGTCCAGCTAGACTGCAGGACCACCTGGAGAGCGCAAGATCAAGAACTGGGCGTGGGCTACTAAGGAAACTGTGAGTACCTCTGATGGGATGCAACCCCAGGTGGTGCTCACGAGAACAAGGGCAGGGGGCGGACCTGGCTAGACAGGCGGTCTAGACAGGCACCTGCTAGCATGAGTGTGGGCTGGAGAGTGGGGTTGGTTGGGTTGAGTTAGGTTTCAACACCCACTGACACGTACAAGAGCTGAATGGGATGTGGGCTGGCCTGGGCCAGTCTGCTGCACAAACTGGCAAGTATGGGAACCAGGGCTGGGTGTGGGCCGGTGGGGGCCATTGGGATCTCTCTGATTAGGCTCCAGATCCCGCTGGTAAACACTGGGGCTGAGTGTGTGATGGGCAGGGTTGGGCTGGCCTGCAGTCTCAGGGGGTCCCTTTCATGGGAACCGGGACTCGAGGTGTGACATCCACACCGAGAATTGGGACACAGTGCACGCAAAGGTGAGATGAACCAATGCACGCTTTATTGAGTTATACTGCACGACTTATACCACGATTTTGGCAGGGCAAGCAGGCAGATGAAAGTTACTAGTTAACTGAACAATAACACACAAGCTTCTCTAACAATAGATCACAAGGGATTTGAAAAGCAATCAGCAGGTCTCAGACAACAGGACAGGTAAACATGAGTTACAGGAACCAATACCGGTAAACAAACAGATCTAACTAGAGAAGGATCCAACAGAACTCTGTTTGCACTCAGGTACATTCAGGCCACAATCACTAAAAAAAAAAGGAAGCTGGTGAGGGCGCTGCCCACCTCCCCATGGCACACTTGGCCAGCAAGGCGGCCCACAGGCTCAGCAGGAAGTTTGCTTCCTGCAGAATTCTGTCTGCCGAGAATGTCTGAGATTTGGGGTCCCTCAGGCATTTGGTGGTCTTTTTTTTGGGGGGGGGAGCAATTTTTCAGTACCACAGCATCTATTGGTTTACACAAAGGATGGGGCTAGAGACAGAACCGACCCAGGAATTGCAACTACCAGTGTGTGAGTAAGCTGATGTGGGGGACAGCCAGAGCCGGATCCCATACTGGTTCTGGAATCATTTCAGGCAAGGTTTCTTTGTGGATCTCCCCAACTGAACGGCTGGAGTCAGAACTCCAACCACTGGGGGAATCGCAGGATCTGTGGTTGACCACGGAGTGCATGTGTGAGCTGGGCCTCCTCGGTGGCTTAGATGGAGCAGTGGATGGCACACCCAGATGCACATGGAGGATATGGCAGTCCATTGGGGCCTGCCAAGGACATCTGGTACCACAACAGAGGAAGGCGAGCAGAACAAATTGGTCAACTACCCCAGCCAGGCATTGCCAGCAAGTCTGGATGAAGGGAGACTCTGGGGGGATCATGTCAGCCAATGGACCTTGGAAGGATTTCTCATTCTTGGATCGGTGAGATCTACCGCGTTTCAAAACCATCGAAACGACTTGAGCAGAGCCCTCTGAGCATGCTCCACATGGGGACCCGGGATGGCATCGGGTCCGTTCCCCATCCCTGGGTGCTGAGGTGGTTGGGAGGCTGGATGCAGCTTCTCCCCTAACCTCCCCTCGTCCTCCAGATATAGGAAGAAAAAAGAAAATACGCAAACAATGGTCTCACCCACTTTCCCCTAACCCCTAACCCTTCCCACCCTAACTATGTAAGCACCATCAAAAATAAAATTAAAAACAAGGAAAAAAGATAAGTTTGGGCCGTGTGGTGGCCTAACAAGCCAATCCTCTGCCCTGTGGTGCTGGCACCCATGTGGGCACCACTTCAAGTCCCCACTGCTCCACTTCCCATGTGGACACCACTTCAAGTCCCACTGCTCCGCTTCCCATCCAGCTCCGTGCTAACGCACTTGAGAGAGCAGTGGAGTAACAGCCACTGCAGCCACTGGGGCAGTGAACCAGCAGATGGTCAAGCTCTCTTTCAAATAATAAATAAATCCTTTCTATAAAATTCACTTTGGTGTCCCCCTCCAGTGGAAATGCACACATAATTCTGTCATCATGTGCACCTGCCCACAGGCTGCTGCAGGCCCCTCCCGTCCTCTGTGCCCTCCAGTGGGCACAGCTGGAGGGGGCTGCAGCCAGCCCCAGGCCCCACAGCCTGGCCACCCCCGAGGCAGCTGGACAGCACAAACACCCCGGAGCTGGGGCAGACAGCAAGCAGCCAGAGAGCTGTGGGCCACACATCACCCGGCGCTTCCAAGGACAGCTGGCCACTTCCTGCTGCCCGCTGCCCACTACTACTACCCACTGCCCACTGCTACTACCCACTGCAAGCTGCCCACTGCCTACTACCCACTGCAAGCTGCCTGCTGCCCACTGTCCACTGCTACTACCTACTGCAAGCTGCCCGCTGCCCACTGCCTGTTGCCTATTGCACACTGCCCACTGCCTGCTGCCCACCACCCACTGCTCACTGACTGTTGCTTGCTGCCCACTGCCTCATCACTGTTCACTACCCCACTGCCTGCTGGCCACTATGTGCTGTACAATGCCTGCTGCCTGCTGCCCACTGCCCACTTGCCTGCTGCAAGGTTAGAGTTCATGTTCAGAACCAGAAATCCACACAGAATAGATAGAGTTCAGCTTAAAACAAGCTTTATTGGACCCGGCATGATAGCTTAGCGGCTGAAGTCCTCACCTTGAATGTGCTGGGATCCCATTTGGGCGCCAGGGCCCCACTTCCCACCCAGCTCCCTGCCTGTGTCCTGGGAAAGCAGTGGAGAACGGCCCAAAGCCTTGGGACCCTGTGCCCACGTGGGAGACCCAGGGGAGGCTCCTGGCTTTGGATCGGCTCAGCTCCAGCCGCTGCAGCTGCTGGGGAGTGAATCATCGGACAGACTGTTAGATGATGACCACCGCCCGCCTGCTGCTGGAATAATATCGGCAAGTTGTTCAGAGTTGTAATGGAAGCTTTACTGGAAAATCCGCTCCTGGGCCCCCTTCGCGCAAGGGGAAGGAAGAGGGAAGCGAAAAGGGCATCTGAGATACGTGTTGAGGGATTTCATACCCCTCTAGACACGTGGGTGGGCAAAGGGCTGTCTGTGTCCCAACTATGCAAGGAATGTCCATTCAGGTGTGCCATTGGTCAACTGGAATCCCGCCAGGTCAGTGACGTAACTGGCTCCTGTGGCCCCTCCTGTTCCAGGCTGGAGCCTAGGAGATGTTGGGGCGGAGCAGACCAGCCCCTCATCTCCAGCGCCCTGGGCAGCCATCTGTCTCTCCTCCTCTCTGAATATCTGCCTTTCCAATAAAATAAAAATAAAGCTTGAAACAATAGCTCTGAAATCTTCTTTCCTTGTTTTTAACGTTATTTTTGAGAATGTTTATACGGCTTTACTAGGAGCGGGCCAAGGAAGCCGCACCCAGGAGAGCCGAGGGGTTGTTTCATCAGGGGGCTGTGGGAGTTAGGGGACAAAAGACTGTACTTTCCGGAGTGTCATACACTCCCTGCGACCTTGGTCGGTCCGTATGTCACTACTGGACTGCTGGCCGAGGAGGAAGCTGCCTTCTCCTGGTGGGGCCTTCTCAGCCTCCTCCTAGGTCACCCCTCACCCACCCCGCCTGCACCTTGCACCCACTACCCGTTGCACACTGCCCACTGCCAGCTCCAGCTCAGGAGCTAGGGAGCAAGCCTGCCCATTCCAGCTCCACCACGCAGGAGCCCCAGCCCCACCCTCGCCAGGGCCACACGCCCCCAGCCACGGGCAGCACCCTTTGTGTCCGTGCCTGCACAACACAGCGTGGGATAACCGGTCCTTTGCCTGTCCCTGCATGAGTGGCCTTTGCTTATTTTCACAGGTGCTGCCCTGTCACACCTCCGGTGTGGGCCAGAAGCTTTTGGAAGACAAGCCCAGAGCCGCAACACCCAACCAGGCGGCTGGACAGCCTCACTTTCTCCTTGGTCAGCGCTTTTACGAAGCGTCCTGTCCCCAGCCACACCCGCCACCTTCCCTTCCTGGCTTGGCCCCCCCCCCCCCCACACACGCTGCCGCAGGGGCCCCAGGGCTGGGAAAGGCCTGGGGTGGGGGGAGTCTGGCGAGACCCTACCCTTCCCCTGTGACTGAGTGCTAACCCCAGGAGGGGTCTGTGCCCTGCCCCATCTCACCCCCACCACTCAGCCCTTCCCTGGGGCGCACTCTCCCGTCCACTGTAGTCTTCCACACGCATGGGCACAGGGCCAGGACTCTGCCCACTCCCACCCACCACGCTGTCCCCACTGCCTGCGCCCCCAGAGCGGCCCGGGCGTGGAAGGGTCGCCCGCAGCCCCTCCCTGCTGGCCAGGACCCCCGCCAGGGCCGCGCCCACCTCCACTCACGCCCCCAGCTCCGCTCCACGTGACCGCTGCTGGTCCCGGCAGGGCGACACCACCTCGGGGCCGGCGGGGGGACGCTCCGTGCTGACGCGCCGCCCCAGCTCCGGAGCCAGGCCCGTGCCGCCGGGGAGCCTGCCCGAGCCCCTCGCCCGCCCTGGCCGCGGCGCCGGCCGCCCTGTCCGGCCCGGAGACCCCGCGCCGGCCGCCCGCCCCCGCCGCCCGCGGCCCCCGCCGCCCGCGCGATGGTCGCGCCCGCGCGTCACGTGGCCGCCGCGCCTTAAGCCGGGAGGGCGCCGGCGTCCCCAGGCCGTGCTGCCCGCGGTGTGAGCTCCCTCGCAGCCCCCGCTCCCTCGCAGCCCCCGCCGCGCCGCCAGGATGATGTGTGGAGGGCCTTCCGCCACGCAGCCCGCCACGGCCGAGACCCAGCACATCGCCGACCAGGTGAGGTCCACTTGCGTCCACTTGCCTGGGCGCCGGCCGCGGGCGGGCCCCTGCACTGCACGGTGCGTGGCTGTGGGTCGGAAGCCCCAGGCTGCGTAGACAGGACCAACCCCTGGGTGCCTGCGTGGAGGGTGCCCCCGGCGGGCCGCAGCGTTGCCCCCCACACCCCCGGGGTCTCTCCACGTCCCCACTTTGGACAGGGCTTGGGACTCGACACCTGCCGTCAGGACTCGGGTGCGGGTGAGCCGGCAGGTGAGAGGCCCTGGGAGACACCAGCTTCACCCTCTTGGCACGTGTCCCCCGGGGCCCCACCTCGGGCTCAGCTGACCGGCAGTCAGGGTGGTGAGTCAGCCCCGGGGCCTTGGGGAATGAGGAACCTGCCGGCCAGGACCACAGCACTGTGCAGGTGGCGCCGGCAGCCACGCTCCCCCGGCGTGCGGAGGGTCCAGTCAGCGGGGGCAGTGGGCAGCAGCCGGTGGATAGCTGCACTTGCGGGGAGCATTCTAGGTGCTGGGGCAGTCGGCCCCCAGCCCTCTGGCTCCCTGGACCCCACCTGTCCCCCCGCCTTGGGCCCCCAGAGCTGCTCAGGTGCAGCTTCCTGGCTAATCCTGGCCTTGCAGGAATTCCCGCCCAGCTCGCTCCTGGTCCACTGGGTCGGGGTGCCCCGCACAGCAGTGACCGCAGACCCTCTCTGGCCACCTGTGTTTGGGGTTCTCAGCAGGGTTGCTGACTGGCCTGCCTGTTCTGTCATGGGCAGGGAGGCCCCAACCAGCCTTCTGGGACCGCACGCTGGGCTTGGAGGGTGAGGCACGGGTGGCGCTGGCCCCTGTGTGGCGAGAAGGGAGCCGTCGGGGGGGCTGCTCCCTCCGCAGCGTGGCCATGCAGCGTGCGCACGCAGTGCACTGTTGACAAGCGTGCCTATTTGTACTTGAAAGAGTTACAGCGAGAGGACTGACAGCCCTTCCCTCTGCTGGTTCACTCCCCAAAAGGCTGCAGCAGCCAGAGCCAGGCCAGTGAGTGCAGAGCCAGCAGCCTGTGGCTCTCCCACGCGGGTGCAGGGACCCACGGTCACCGCCCGTTGTTTTCCCAGGACGTGAGCAAGCAGCTGGATTGAAAGTAGAGCAGCTGCGACTCGAACTGGGATGCTCATGTGGGATTTTTTTTTAAGATTTATTTGTTTTTCTTGGAAAGTCAGATACACAGAGAGGAGCAGAGACAGAGAGGAAGATCTTCCGTCTGATGATTCACTCCGCAAATGAGCGCAACAGCTGGAGCTGAGCCAATCTGAAACCAGGAGCCCAGATCCTCTTCCAGATCTCCCACACGGGCGCAGGGTCCCAAGGCTTTGGGCCGTTCTTGACTGCTTTCCCAGGCCACAAGCAGGGAGCTGGATGGGAAGTGGGGCCGCTTCCCATGGATGGGGATTAGAACCTGTGCCCATATGGGATCCCGGCGTGTGCAAGGCGAGGATTTTGACCACGATGCCATCGCACTGGGCCCCCTGTGGGATGTTTAACTCACAGCACCACAAGGCCAGCCCAGTGAAAGTGCATCAGCGCTTTTGCCTTAGGGCCACTGCAGCTTACCCACAGCCTAACCGACACAGCCAGGGAGGGCATGGCGGGCTGGTAGTTAGCACTGGGCCTGCCTCCTGGCACAGCAAGTGGAGCAGCCGCATGCAGTACTGGCATTCTTGGAGTGCTGGCTCGAGGCCTGACTGCCCCTCCTGCAGTCCAGCTCGCCGCAGACGCTCCTGGGAGGCAGCAGGGGACGGCAGACCCGGATGGCGTTGCAGGCTGCGCTCTGCCTGCCACACCCCGTGGCCATTCGGGGAGTGAACCAGGGGGCAGATCTTCGTCTCTCCTCCCTCTCTGTAATTCTGCTTTTCGGATAAGCTCAAAGCTGAGGCACATCAGTGAAGCAGAAGCAGCAGTCAGCAGGCGTGTTTAAATCCTTCTGTGAGGAGTCCGGCCTGTGCCGAGCTGTGTGCCCTAGCTGGCGCTGCAAGGATGAAAACCTACAGGCCCCGCCCGTGCCTGGGGCTGCAGGGTGAGAGGCGGGCGTGTCCCCGCGGCCTGTCCTGTCCCATCCGCTGACCGCTCTCCTCCCACCCAGGTGAAGTCCCAGCTGGAGGAGAAGGAGAACCGCAAGTATAACGAGTTCAAGGCTGTGTCCTTCAAGAGCCAGGTGGTCGCGGGGACCAACTACTTCATCAAGGTGCGTTGGGAGCCCTGGCATGGGCGGGGGGGCTGGAACGAGTGAGCGTGGAGGGTCAGACCGGGCCAGCCCACAGCAGTGCTCAGTGGGGGGCTGGAAGGAGTGAGCGTGGAGGGTCAGACCGGGCCAGCCCACAGCAGTGCTCAGTGGGGGGCTGGAAGGAGTGAGCGTGGAGGGTCAGACGGGGCCAGCCCACAGCAGTGCTCTGTGGGGAGCTGGAAGGAGTGAGTGTGAGAGGGTCCTGGGCCTGCCCAGCCCACAGCAGTGCAGGTGCAGGGGGCGTCCCGGGCCTGCTGTGCTGGGAGGGCAGTGTGGGTGGCGTGGGGCTGTGCATCCTGACTCATGGCCTGTCTCGGCAGGTGCATGTGGGCGACGGCAGCTTTGTGCACCTGCGTGTGTTCAAGAGCCTTCCTCACGAGAACCGGCCCCTGGCCCTGTCCGACTACCAGGTCAACAAGGCAGAGCACGACGAGCTCACCTACTTCTAGTCCCTGCGCTGGTGCCCATGCCGGAAGTGAAGCTGCCGCTGCCAGCCTGGGGAGGGGCCCGGCTCACCCCGCCCACGCTGGGCCGTGGGTGGCTCTGGGGCCGACTCGGCCACTTCTCTTGCAGCCCTGTTCTGTTGATTTTACTCCTTCCCAATCAATGATCAAAGAGTGCTCTGTTTTCAATACACATATTTCTATATTTTAAGCCTTGGTGAACACCTCTCGTGTCTCTAGCCCTCAGTCCGATGCTGCAGCACAAGGCAGGTGTGTCCACGCAGCCTGCCCTGCTGTTCCATCCACTGCCTGCCCCGGAGGCCAGGGCTGTGCACGGCCGATGTGGCTGACGTCAGATCCTCACTAAACAAGACGGAACAATGGATAGGTGTGGGGAGATTGCCCAAGACGGGAGACTGTGGCCCCGGTGTCTGACGGAAGAGTGTGCATGTGTCAGAGGTCCTGGTCTGTGTTGGGAGCCCCACTCCTGTTTCCCTGGCAGGGGGCTCCCCACTGCGTGCCAACCCTCTCCTGGCCCTCCTGGCACGGTGGGGGGCTGTGTCCAACAGGTGACCTGTGGGAGGACCAAAGGACTGCGTCCCACCCAGAGCCCCCCACATCCTGTGTGGGGGGAGTCTCATCACCGGGCTGGGATGAGAAGTCTCCCGGGCAGCAGGTGTGGCCACATGGCCAAGTGGAACTCTTCCTCCAGCTTCCCAGAGGCTCCCAGGCACAGGAAGGGCCCCTTCTCCAGCAGGGCCCGCGAGAGAGGTGGGGTCATGAGTGCTTCCCAACCATTAGATGCCGGGCTCCATGTTGGCAGGGAATGTGGCTGTCCCAGCCCCTCCCACCCCTTGGCAGGACAGGGCAGTGGGCCTCCTGTGTGAGGTGGGGGTCTGGGGAAGGCAGGGGACGGGGCCAGAGTGGACGTGGTAGATGGAACTTGCTTACAGTGGGAACCTGGGTTCCCAAGGTACAGGCTGAAAGCTTCTAGAAAATCTAGCTGGCCCTCCCTGCAGCCCAGCCTTAGGCACCCCAGAGGCCAACAAGAGCATCTTCAGCACTGCCCAGCAGGGCAGTGGGTGCCTCTCACTGGTACCAGGTCTGTCTATTGAGGCTGCAGCCCCCACCCCATCTCACTCCCAAGGGAGCTCTATCATTGCCTCCTCAAACCCCTTCACTGACACCTTCAGGTGGGGGCCTCAGGGGCAGGACCTGGGCTGGGGTCTGCCAGGGGTAGCCCGGTGCTGGCTGGGGGCTGCACGCTCCCCTGCTGCCCACCGGTCCCTGCCCTCATGCTCCCACATGCCCAGCGCCTCCCGTCACAGCCCCCAGGGCACCGCGACCGAACCCCAGCAGCTGTGACGACACTTTCCCCATGGGGCAGGGAGTGCCAAGAGGGAGTGGCAAACCTGGGCACTGGCAGGGGGGCAGTGTCATCACAAGGCCAGGTTGAGCTGATCTGGAGCCAGGAGCCTCCTCCAGGTCTCCTATGTGGGTGCAGGGGCCCAAAGCCTTGGGCCGTCAATGCTTTCCTAGGCCATAAACGAGGACTTGGATGGAAAGCGAATCAGCCGGGATAAGAACTGGTGCCCACATGAAATCCCAGAACTTGCAAGGTGAGGATTGCGGGCCTCTAACATTTGTTTCTGAAAGGTAGAATTAGAGAATCTCTCATCTACTGGTTTACTCCCACAATGTCTGCAAAAGCCGGAGCTGGGCCAGGCTGTAGCCAGGCACCTCTGTCTCCCCTGTGGGAGCAGGGCCCAAGCATCTGGGCCATCCTTGGCTGCTTTCCCAGCTGCATCAGCAGAGGGCTGGACGCATAGCAGCAGCCATTGGGGATGTCGGTGCCTGGAGCAGAGGCTTACCGTGCTACAGCAACAGCCCCCACAAGGCCCTCCTGAGCCTCCTACAGGCCCCAGCTGTAGAGCTGAGTGCACACATGGGCAACTTCAGGCCACTGAGCTGCAGGGGCCTCAGGACCCCGTCTGGCAGGGCTGACTGCTCAGGGACCAGGGTGTGAGCAACCACACTGCTGCCCTCCATGGAGATGTTGGACCACACGGGCCTCACAGAGGGGCTGGCCCTGCAGAACCCCCCCATTTAGCCCTCTGGGGGCATTGCCCAGCTAAGGGCAGACTTACAGCAATGCTAGGGAGCCACTGGACTGGGTGTGAAGCCCTTAGCACCACTGGCTGAGCAGGCAGGAGCCTGTGGGGAGAGGGCAGGCTGCAGGAGGCACTGGGGTGCCAGTGTGGATAAGCTGCTGGGGTGCAGGAACGGGACAGAACTCGGCTTTTCACACACTATCCACAGGCAAGGCAACGGAGCAACCACTGACTGGCCACGCATCACCAGAACACATTTATTTGTGGCAAAGTCACAATGAGACCAGTACAGAACAGACACCGACATATGTGCGGCTGGGCCTGGGTGGCAGGGGGCCAGCTGTAATTGGGCAGGACAGAGCAGGCTCTGGACAGCACCTGGCCCGTGGGGGTCCACTTGTGCTATCCCCTGATGAAGCCTGCCCAGGACTCTAGTTGAACAGGTGTGCCCAGCCTTCAGGGCTAAGGGGAGCTGGGTGGGTTGCCCCACTACCCACTTCTGCCAAGTGGAGGCTGAGCCAGGGCCTCAGGAGGCCCAAGGGTCAGAAACTGCACTACTGTGAACCTGGGCAAGGAAGGGGAAGACAGGGACACGTGAGGGTGGGCCTGGGGAGGGAGTGGACATTCGGAGGACAGGGCCCTGGCGCGGCCCAGACAGTGGCACGGCTGGAAAAACACCTGTTTATTCTGCTGGGGGAAAAAGATCTCCAGGAAATCCCATTGATATAGTTTAAAACATTCACTAAGTCAGGCTAGAGTTACTTTAAGCCAACAAACACAGTGTCTAACAAAGGCAGGAAGAGGTGCTGCAGGAGTTGATTTTGCAGCCAATGTCTTTGGACATGGAGAACCCGCTGCAGTTGGTCAGCAGGGACACACCAACCCTGTGACCCAACCTACAGACCCGGTTCCCCTCCTCTCACAGTTATACAGCTAAAAATAAAAATCTAGGAGGCAGCCAGTGCCCGATCCATCGGGCTGGCCCAGCTCCTCCACAACCTGTGGCTTGCAGTCAGGACTCTCGTCCCCACACCACTCTGCTCACTCCCCAGCTCCACACCTGGGAGCAAGCCTGGAGGACCTCCACCTCCCCAGGCCAGTGCTGGCTTGGGCCCGCCCCATGGCACCATGTGGTCCCAGCCCAAGTTCTCCACACCCCAGCTGCGCTTCCCCACTCATCCCTGCCCTCAGTGGCTGCTGGGTAGTGCCCAGAGCTGGCCTGAGAAGGTGGGCAACTGTTGAATGCAGCAGACATGGGGCCACATCTCATAATTCATCTGGATTCTGTACACAGGGAACAGCAGGTGGATGGGGAGGAGACCCAACTGCTGCCTCACAGTGACCGGGGCCCCTGCCCTGATGAACATGGGCGCCCAGCTTCCCCAGGACGAGTGCTGCTATGGGAGGGGCATCAGAGGTCATGTCCAAGGACAAGGCTGTGGCTGCTGGGCGTGGGCTCCAGGGCGGGTGCCCAGCCAAGTCCTGTCCTCATCCCACAGTCTTCATAGTACAAAAGTAACAAGCCTATGCTGATTAGCCTGGTCCCCACACCCTCGTGGGGTCACCCCTCCATGCTCACCAAGGCACAGGCCACCGCCGCCCTCATCCTGCTGTCCAGTGGGCCTCATCCACCCTCTGTGTGCTTGGGACTAGCAAACACTGGGCTCCACTGGGTGGCCATGGCAGGGAGTGCCCAACCCAGACCCTGGCACCTGGGGTAGGGTGCAGGCTCTGTGTGTGCCAACTTCCTTCCTGGGGCCTTTCCCAGCACAGGGCAGACCCCGGGCGACTCTGGAGGGCCCAGGCAGGTGTGAGTAGTGTGGGCTCGGGGCTGGCAGTGGGGGCATTCCTGCACCATCTGCTTTCCTGGGACCACACCAGCCCTACTTCCTGCTGTCTCCCTGCTTCTCTCCAGCTGTGGGTCCCCAGGAGATGGGATACTTTGGATGGGGGTAGGGTTAATGGGCTTCCCTGCTTGTAGGCATACTAAGGGGGCACCCGAGCCCTGGGCAAAGGCAGGTCAGGGCTGCCCCCACCCAACATCTGCCACTGCCTCCAGGAAAGAACCTTTCAAAGCCGCCTCAGCCCACTGGCCCTGTCCCCTCCGCCCCCACCACCCTTGGGGCTCATGGGCAGTGTGGGGGCAACCCAGGCCAGTCACTCTCAGGAGCCCCCCACATCCTCCACTGCAGAAACACCCCAGGTCCTGGGGGCTGCCATCTCACCTAAGTCCCAGCAGATGGCGCCAACACCCAGGATGTGTGGACCCCCAACCTTCCTGGTCCCTGTCCACGTCACCGTAGACAAACCGGTATGTGACAGTTCCCCGCGGTTGAGGCAGGACCCCGGGGACGGGAGAGCAGCAAATTCAGACACAAACCACTGTGGAGGACAAAGTTGGGCAGACGGGGGACGAGAAAGATGCAGGCAGAACCTTCCTGCGGCCTCCAGGTCAGTGCCCAGCCAGGTTCGGCTCAGAGATGCGGACAGCCTGGTCCCTGCCCAGGCACACAGGGACACTCCTGGGTGTCCAGGTCAGTCCCAGGTCACCATGATGGCGTCGTGGTAAAAGCTCGGGCAGCACGGCTTCACAACCGAGACCAGAAACGAGGGACACACACAGAAGGGCTTGGTCCTAGCTACGGTGGACGTGACGCAGGTGCAGGGGACGGGGCGCACGGCCTCACAGCACCGTGGCCTGCACCACGATCTCGGGGTCCTCGATGTCCTTTTTGCTCTGGACCATCCTCAGCTCCAGCTGGGCGGGGCTGGGTTTCCTCCCCTCCCCAGCCTGGGCTGCAGGACAGAGGGGGCGGGGTTAGAGAGGGGCGGGGCTGAGAAGCTCCTCCCCTCCACGCTCACCCACCCCACTGCTTTCAGAAAGGGGGTTCCACACCACAGCCCACTGTCCCCATCCTAAAGTCCAAGGCCCCCGTGACCCTGTGCATGGCTGCAGGAGCTGGCCATAGTGGCCGGCCCTGTGCAGGCCGCGAGGGTCCCCTGGCGGTACCTTTTGCACACGCAATGGTCCTGCGTAACACGTGCTGCATGGCGGACACAGTCTTCTCACAGGCCATCTGCAGAGACAAGAGGGACCCTGGACCCGGGCCTCTTGGCCCAGACACCACCCACTGCCACCTGCCACGGGCAGTCCTCTCAGCCCCGACCCTGACCCCAACATGCTGCACACTTCGTGGCACAGAACAGGTGCCTAATGGGCGTTCCCACGGTTGACCCAGGAAACAGCTCCTGGCTGAAACTCAGACTCATCACTCAGTGCCTCAAAAGCTGGCTGAGGGTGGAGGGGGCACTCAGCGGGGTGGGGGAGGCTGCCAGAGCCCAGGTCCCTGGCCCTGGAGTGGCTGAACCCAGGGTGTGGCCTTGGGGGCCTGCAGGGAGCTGTGGATAGGCGGCTGCCGCCCTGCACCAAAGAAAGCCCAGTCACTGTAGGTGAGTCACGTGGGCTGGGACCCCACATCCTGGCCCTCAGGGAGGTGGACACCCAGATCCCAGCCTTCAGGGGGGACAGGGACCCATGTCCCAGCCCTGAGCTCTGAGTCTGCAGCAGGATGGACCTGGGAGTCCACTGATCACCCAGGAGTGGTGACCTGAACACCCGTGGGCCCCACATTGGCACTGGCTGCCCCAGACTTGGGGTTCTCCCTGCCGGGGGCCTGGTTCACTCCAGCAGGGCTTCTAAACGTAGTCTTGGTCAGGCTTTGCTATTTCTTCCCCATCAAGGGGGACAGGGCAGCCCGCCACAGTCCCCCACCCCGAGCCCAGGCGCAGCTGAAGCAGCCGTGGCGGCTGACCTTGAGGTTGTCGGGGTGCTTGTGCGTCCAGGCAAGCAGCATGGCGGCAAAGAGGTCCCCGGTGCCCACGAACACAGCGTCCACCCTGTGCATCTCCATGCTGATGCGCTGGGTCACCAAGGAGCCATCGGGCCGTCCTGCAGGCAAAGGGGAAGCCAGCCCCCTTGGGACCCCAGTGTGCAGCTGGGACAGGCCCAGCCAGCCTCCACCCCGGTCACGGGAGGCACAAGGACGAGGCAGGGGTGATCTCCATCAGCAGCCCTGGGCTGTGAGCAGCCCCTATCCCAGCGACTGGAACCTTGGAGGGCCCAGTGGACAAGGAACAGGCGAGGCCCTGAGCCAGTGCCAGTGTGCATGTCGGGGGCAGGCTGCCGCATGGAGAAGGCGTACCGCGAAGGGGCAAGGCACTCACGTATCCGCTGGCTGCCCAGCGCGATCAGGTAGTCGCTCCCCTTCGGGGAGGGCAGGTCGGAGCTGGTGATGACCACGGTGTCAGGGCCCATGGAGTGCAGCAGGTCCATTACCTGTGAGCAGGAGGGCAGGGCGTTGGCGGGCGGAGGGCAGGGCGTCGGTGGGCGGAGGGCAGGGCGGCGTCCGGGCAACGCCAGGGGCTCAGAACCCTACCCTCCCACGCTCGGCCTCAGCCCCGAGCAAGGCGTTCCACAAGGAGCCCTGGCCTGGGCTGGCCTCTCTCGACTCAACACAGGCTCCTGGCCTCACTCAGGCCATTCCCCGGGCACCAGGGTCCAAGTACAGTCTGGATGGAGCTGGTGTGGCCGGCAGAGGGAGGATAAGGCCAGGCCCGCGGCTGCCGGGTGCCTAAGCATGGAGCGGGAAGGGCCTGTGTGCCGCCCCCCATGGATGGCCCCCTCACCGCCAAGGCATCCTCCTGGCTGTGGATCTTCCTGCCACTCAGTAACCTGCAAAACAGACAGGAAGGGGTGGCCTGAGACCCCTCCCCTGGCACCATGCCCCACCGGGAACTGGCATGCTGTGGACGCAACAAACACGTGCAGCGTGGGGCTTCCCAGGGAGTCTAGAGGAACCCGTGTAGTCCTCTGGGCAGACCCCGTCTCCCCCCATATCCCACTTTGGAGGGGGTCCCCAGGTGTCCCCACCCCTCTGCAAGTCGAAACTCCAGAACTGCCCTCTAAGCCGCTTCCTGTTTACAGTACGGGGTCGGGTCAGCGGGGCCTGGCGGTTGACAAGACGGACGCACCACAGGCCCCCCCCCAGTTTGGGGGACTGGATATGCGCCACCTGCTGCCCAGGGCTGGACCTGGCCTCTGTCACCAGGGCAAGTGTGGATAGTGGGCCGCGCGGAAGCAGGATACTCACTCAGCCTCAAACTGGTTGGGGGTGATGATGTCCGCCACGGGCACCACCTGGTCCCTGTACACTGGCAGCAGGTCCTCGGGCACGTACTAGGGACAAAGCGACAGGGCCCACGCTGACGCCAAGGGGGCACACTGACTGCCAAGGGGACACACTGACCACCAAGGGGACACACTGACCGCCACAGGCACACACTGACCACCAAGAGGACACACTGACCGCCAAGAGGACACACTGACCGCCAAGGGCCCACGCTGACGCCAAGGGGACACACGCTGACCGCCACAGGCACACACTGACCACCAAGGGGACACACTGACCGCCACGGCCCACAGGCACTGCCCCCACGGAGGGGGCACACCTGGCACATGGGAACCCTGGAGGCCTGGAGAGGATCAGGGTAGGGTCTGGTCCGAGTTGGGGGCCTGAGGTGAGGAGGGGGAGGTGAGTGCAGGGTGAGAAATGGGAAACACAGAGGGTGGGTGGATGGGGGCGCTGACCCTGCCATGGAACTGGGGGCCAGGCCACTGCTCCCTGGGAAGCTGCGGCTCTAAGCAAGCCCATGAACTGGACAGCCATCAGATGTCCCTCGGGAGAGTGCTCTGGCCACAAGCATGTGGGGACCCGGGACAGCCACCATGCATCGGCACTGGCTCGCTTTCACAGTGTTTTCGGGAACTGCCCAGGGGCCACATGGGGCAAGCCAAGCGGTGGGCACTAGCGGTGGGGAGCTACAGTGCACAGCAGGGAGTCCCTGGAAGCACTCACCATCGAGCCTTCACCACTCCACTTGTCACCCATGACTGGGTCACACACTGCGGGGACAAGGGTACCTGGTCAGCAAAGCCGCCACAGCAGGGACCACCTCCCCAGGCTCAGACTGCATGCCAGCCCCTCCCCCATTGCTCCTATGTGGGGACCCCAGGGTCTGTCCCTTGGGACCTGGCTCTTCTCTGGAGTGGGAGCTGTTCTGGGTTTACCAGATGTCCCTTTTGCGGCCGCTCAGACTGTCAGGCACATGTCCAGTACATTCTGTCTGCCCATGGACACAGGGCTGCTTCCTCCATGGCTCCCTTGACACATGGAGGTCTTGATGACCCCGGGCTGATGAATTCTCTGGGGTTCACTCCATGAGGCACCCCCCTTTGGTATGCAGCAGGCACAACCACAGCCCAGGACATCACAGGTCCTGGGCTGGAGACCCAGCACCTGTGTTACCCATTCTAGGTGGAAATCCTGTGCAATTTACAAAGCCTTGGACCTCTCTGCAGGGACACCGAGCAGGCCTGGGCTAGTACACGCCCTGGGCCTCTCTCTGCAGGGACACCGAGCAGGCCTGGGCTAGTACACGCCCTGGGCCTCTCTCTGCAGGGACACCGAGCAGGCCTGGGCTAGTACACGCCCTGGGCCTCTCTCTGCAGGGACATTGAGCAGGCCTGGGCTAGTACACGCCCTGGGCCTCTCTTTGGGCCTCGGGTTAATGCACTAGGTCTTAGGATGGCAAGCCCTCCCCTCACCCTGCCATGGTCAGCATGGACCCAGATTGGCACACCAGGTACAGAGTGGGTTATGCCAGGGCTGACACACCTGGGAGATGGACAACAGGGAAAGTCTCTGCCCACGGAGTATTTGACATAGCCTTGGCACAGGCAACAGGTAGACCCCAGGGACAGCTGTGCCCATTCACCCCCTGGACCCGAGGCTGACCTGCACCAGCCCCCTTCCTCTCTGCGCCCCTGAGGGCACCCTGAACTGGGGGTCTGGCACCCACCGTACACCAGCCTGGAGTTCTGCCGTTTCAGTTCCTGCACGATGTCCACCACCATGGCCAGGAAGGACTTGTCCCTTGTGTAACCTTGGGAAGGCAGGGAGAGCTGGGTCAGCCCCTGGGGGCCAGGGAAGATCTAGGTCCCTGACAGCCTGTGGCCATGGGGGACACGGGTGGTGACTGTCCCTTGTCCTGTGCTGTCCGCTTTCCACGGTCAGCAGTTGTTTTTAACACACAGGCTGGTTCTTTGGTTGGGAACTTGACGAACACGCCAGCACAGCGGTGGCAACGTCGCCTCTGCCGGGGCTCCCCTAACACTCCCCGCCAGGGGACGCCTGCAGGGGGCATGGAGACCCTCCGTGAGGGCACCGCCCACGGGCAGCACAGGTGGGCAGCACCGCCCAGCCCTTACCTGTGAGCACGTAGTCGTACTGGTTCACGCTGTTGAGCTTCAGCCCCTCGTACAACTCCTGCAGCTCACTCGAGTTCAGCACTTGGCCCTTCCAATGAGCATAGCCTGCGGAGCGGACGGCTCAGGCCACAGCTGTGCGCACACTGCCGCCCGCGTGCCCATCCCGAGACTGCCACGCTTGGCCACTCAGCGGGACCCGCCCCTGAGCTCTGAACCTGCCCCTCCAAGGTGACAGGTGCACACCCTGGGGGGCCCGAGTCTCCTCCACAGACCAGACACTGGGAAGGACACCCCCAGCCCGGAACGCTGCCTGCCTTCCCCAGCCCCGCATGTCCCCCTGACCATGGCACACGCTTATGGCCATCTACACCTGAGGCTCTGGGGCCCCTGGGCACTCTGGGCATAGCAGGGGTTACCATGCCCCGTCTTCCCATTTTCCTTTCACTGCCCCCCCACAAACATATCAAGAAGCACACAAACCCCAACCAAGACACATGTGTGTGGAAACAGACACCTGCTCTGGTCTGAAGGGGCCTGATGTTACGTGTGTACTCCAAGGCTGCCAGCCTCGGGGTGGGGTTGCTGCAACACGCGTGCCTGGCAGTCATGTCTGAGGTTGCCCTGCACTTCCCCAACAGGGACACTGCACACGGAGGGGTCCTCACATGCCCCGCCCCGAGCACAGACGACTGTCCCGACTGTCCCGAGGTCGTTAAGATTTACATGAAAGGCAGGGTTATGAAGAATCTTCCACTTGCTGGTTCACTCCCGTCTAGCTGGGTCAGAGGGGCTGCAGCCCTGGGAGGGCCCTCTTGGGTGGTGGCTGTGCCTGCCAGGCATTGCTGGATGCCGGCCCCAGGCCTCCCTAGCCCCACCAGAGGCCTCATGTCCACCCTGTGAATGCTGGGTGTCTGGGTGGGAAGGCCCTGGGCCAAGGCCGCCTCCAGCCCAGCCTGTGGGAGTGAGGCAGTGGACGGAGGGCTTGGGGAGTGAGGCAGTGGACGGAGAGCTTGGGGAGTGAGGCAGCGGATGGAGGGCCTTTGTGTGTCTCCCATGTTCTGTCTCTGCCTTGCACATTTTCAAAAATGCAGCAGGAGGTACCGGTGCCGTGGTGCAACCACCCAGGCCAGCACTGGACCCAACCCGGTCATCATCTCCTACAGACACACGAAGGGTCATAACCCGCTTTCCAGAGGTGGCAGAGACCCAGCATGCTTCTGCTACCTGCCCCACGGCTCCCCGCTGAGCCCCAAACCCAGCCACCCCCACCCAAGGGCAAGCCACAGTCCAGCCACCAGCACAGGGCTGGGTCTCCACAACAACCACTGGGCCAAGGCCTCACCTGTGTGGTTTGAAAACTGGACCGAGTTCACAGCATCGATCTCAAAACCCAACACCTGCAGAGACAGAGAGGGGTGTGAGGTTGCTGGGTGGTTGCCAGGGCACTGTGGCTGGCACAGAGAGGGGCGTGAGGGTGCCGGGCGACAGCCAGGGCACTGTGGCTGGCACAGAGACAGAGAGGGGCGTGAGGGCACCAGGTTGCCACCCAGGGCACCATGGCTGGCGCAGGACTGCAGGCTGAGCTTGGGAAAGGGGAGAGCTTACTCACTCTGGTGGGGCAAGCATGCCGTGTGGGCAGCAGGAAGCCAGGAGGCACCTGCCTGGCCTGGTGCTCCAGAGGCATCTGGGCACCCTGCCATGTGGGAGCACCAGGAACTCGCAAACTCTGACCAAGCCTGGGCAGCACGGCTGACCACTCTGCTCCATGGCTCCTGTCTCACGGAGCAGCCAGGGAGAGGGACAGCGACTCCCAGGGCCCCTGAGGACACCACCGGTGCCCACCGGCAGGCAGGGGCAAGGCTGCCCAGCTAGCAGGGACGACAGAGTGGTTCATGCAAAGGAAACTTAACGTCAGGGTCACCTGTCACCAAGTGAGGATTATGGCCAACTGGCTGCAAGCTACATTTGTTTACAGCTTTTCATCTGGAAGGCAGCAAGGAGCTCTCAGCTGCCATGGGACCGGGGTGCACATTCCAAGGAAGCTGAGCATTCCAAAGTGGGGTGTAGGATGTGGGTGGCCTCAGTGTTGCTCCTTCTCCGGGCCTTGGGGCTGACACACACACATCTGCAGCCAAGATCGGGGGGCTCGGATGAGCTGCACACCCCTCAGGGCTGCCTAGCCTTGTCCACTGCACCTTCCAGGTCAGCACTGCTGGCATTATCACGAGTGGACCCAAGACTGCAGCGTGGCCACAGGGTCCCTTCCCCAGGTTCAGTGTCTACAGTACCACTTGATACAGTCAGTCATCTCAGGTGCCCAAGGAGTACCCAGCACGGGCAGCACCCATCCCCAGCACGAGGCGCAGGCCTGACCGCCCCAGCCAATCCATAGGAACAGTGCAGCAGGTGCGTGGGGGACGGGGCCTGTTCACAGATCCCAGCTCAAACCGGCACTCACACCCGCAGTTCTGTAGCCACGTGAAGCTGGGTGTGGGAGTGCAGGCTGTCATCGCACAGGGTCACCAGGGGGCCAAGACACAGGCGTTAAGGCCCTCCAGGGTCAGCGGCCCTTCCAGGCAAGCATGGCCTCCCTCCTCGACACCGCATGATGCAGGCTACGTGCTGCCTGGCTGACCGAGTAGACAGGAGGGAGAAGGCCAAGGGGCAGGGTGGGGGAGGCCCAGGGGTGGCCCCTTCCGCCCACGGCCTTCACTTTGGAAGCAGGCACTGCATCTGTGGAATGTCTAAAGTGTGGGCAGGACAGCAAGCGGCAAGGCAGAGAAGGGAGGGTGGCTGGGGCACCGGTGGACCACACCGCTGAGTGTCCGCGGCCAGCGTCCTGTCTTCACCTAGTGCCCTGGGGTTCAGGTCAGCAGGGCCAGGGCTGGGCTCAGCAGCTGTCTCCATCTGGCTCCAGCCCTTGGCTGTTTCCCACCCGGCATTTGAGCTCAACCCACACAGACACAAACATGAGCCAGGCACGGCTGGAGGGCTCGCGGGACCTGTCCTGTCCTCACTGGAGACAGGCTGTGCCATGGTATAAACTGCACAAGGACATTCAGATTCTCTGCTATTGTGGCAGACAATAGCCAGCTGAACCCCTGAAGGAGCCAGGAGCAACTGATAAGGTTTAGATAAAGGACCTGCCAGAGGAACCAGCTGTGTTTTGAGGAACTGTCCCTTGCTGTTGAGATGTAAATGGCTCAAGCCCCTCCTCCCTGGGGGCCTACGTGACAGCCTTCCTTTAAAAGTCTGTGGCTGTAATAAACTTGGGCTTTGACCATCAGTCAGGGTCCACCCGTGTTATTATCGGCTCCGTGACCAAGTTCATCGCTGCCAGACGCTGTACCGTTTAAATAATTTTTAGGACAGTGTGGCGACACGGCAGGTAGAGCCACTGTCTGCAGTGCTAGCTGTGTCTCACCTGCCCGTCTCGGCCACAAGCACAAGGCACTGGACTCAGGTTCAAGCTGATGTCTGCCACCCTTGCCCTCAGCAGCGGTCGTGGCAGGAGCCAGCAGCGGTACTGCCTGGTGCCAGTGGCAGCTGCACAGGAACATGCTGGGGGTAGGGGCGGGCTAACCCAGCAATCACAGAGCCTGCTACTGGCACCCTTGCAGGCCCAGCCTGGCGAGGAGGGAGAGCGGTTCTAGCCGCATGGCCACGTGGCTGCTACCTACCCCTGGCAGACCCAGGAAACCATGGGCAAGCCAGGGCATGTCATGGAGGACCCTGGGATCTCCCTGCAGAGGGGAGATACCCCCGCAAAAATGGGCCGTACTCTACCAATGTCTGAACCAGGAACCATCCCAGCCTGGTCAGGGCTGGAGGAGGCAGCAGACAGCAGCCACCCAGACCTGCTCCCTCCCACTTCCTCCCCTGGCCAGAGCAGCAGGATGCCACAGCCTGTCTTGAATGAGGAAGGGCTGTGAGCTGCCTCTGCCGGGCCCCAGGCGGCCCCAGTGGGCTGGGCGCGCTGCACTGAGATGTACCTTGGACCCAGGCCCAGACACAAAACCCAAAACAGGGTCAAGGTTCTGCTCGCTTTCCTTCTGTCCTTCTGGGCTTCTCTGGAGCTGGGATCAGCCCAGGATGGCCCCAGCCCCAGGGACAGGAAGCGGCCACTCACACAGGTGGTCCCGGGTGGCACAAACCTAGGTCACACTGGCCCCTGCCTGCCAACAGGGACTCTGCTGGACAGGCAGCTGAGGTTTGCAAAGGCTCAGACCCCAGGCGCAGCCGCATGGGCAGGTCAAGGGGACACTGGCAGGGCACAGCCACTGCCCGCACGCCCCAGGTCTCTAAGCTTGGCCAGGGCTAAGAGGCTTCAGTGTCCTGAGCTGCACGTGCAGTGTTGATTAGAACAGAGAACACACACCCCGATACCCCAAGGGCAGTTCTGAACCGCAGGGGAACCCCATCCTGCTCCAGGTGCTGCCTAGCCCCAGCCTGCTGGTGCTCCCCCTGTCCAGGCCAGGTGGCCAGCAGCACCCCCGCAGCCCCCTGGGCAGCTCCACTACTCTATAGTGTGAGACACAGGCAGTGGGGCTGGAGCATGGGACCCTGCAGAACTGCAGGCTTGGGGACAGCCCGGGCGGGACGGCAGCTGTTCCCTTTAGAGGTACCTCCCTGGGGTGTCAGGGAGACCCAGCTGCCAGGTCACCACCCCTCCCCTGCAGGCTGGTGGCCAGCAGCAGCAGTGGCCAGTGGCGCAGGGCCTGGTGACTCCCCTCAGGTGCACCTGACAAGCCAGGCAGGCTCTGCCCCCTGCTGGCTGGAATGGGAAGGGGCGCCCGCACCTGCTCCTTCTGGATTTGAACCCTTACACATAGCACATCTGGCCCCCTGTTCAGACTGGGCCAAACAGGGGACAGCCCAGGGGTCACCGGGGGCCTGTCCAGCCACCTGCCGTTCACCCAGGCCTGCCCAGCCACCTGCCATTCACCTAGGCCTGCCCAGCCACCTGCCATCCACAGTGCCTCCTCTCAAGGCGTGCTCCATTCTGGGCACATTTTGGGGGGCTTTCCCTGCGGGGTAGGGGAGGGGGCGGCGTGCAGGGTCCACTGTCATCCTCTGATCACCTTGGGCTGTGGCCACTCCAGCGGTGAGCCCCACCTGGCCGGCACCGTGGCCTGGATGACACGATGCCAGGGGCCCCAAACACCTGCCACCCCCAACCAGCTCCCTCGGCCCACCCCCCCCCCACCGTAATTTCTCGCAGGGGGGAGGCAAGGGGCGGGGGTTCGAGGGAATGCGCCACAGCGCGGGGCCGGGACTCGCCCCTCCCCACCTGCGCAGCCCACCCGGGACCCCGCGGCGGTCCCAGGCTCCGGGTGCACCCGAGGGAGCCGCGCCTGCTCACCCCCTCCCCCTGCGAGCCCACCGGCAGGCGGGGGCTCCGCGCGCCCGGACCCCCCGTGGCCGCCAAGGTCACGCGGCGCGCAGGCGGCCGGCCCGCGCCGGAGATGAGCGTCCCGGGCCGGGGCGCGCGGGACGGCCGGCCCGGTTACGTAAGCCCCGCGCGTACCTGCAGCGGGAACGTGGCCGCCCGGTTGCCCACGTAGCCGCGGACGACGTGGCTCTGGATGGAGAGCACGCGGCACTCCGCCTCCATGCCGGCGGGGCCAGGCGGGCGTCCCGGGCTCCGGCTCGCGGCTCCGGCGCGGCTCGGCGCAGGCGCTCGCTCCCTCTGACCTCGCCAGCCGCTCCGAGCCCGGAGTCCCGCGCGGCGCCGGGGGCGGGCCGGGGGCGGGGACGCCGCGCAAGTCCCGCCCCGGACGGGAAGGGGCGCCCGGGCCTGGCCGGCTCCAGCGGGGCGGGCGCCGGACGCGAGCACCCGGCGGCCTCGGCCGCTGCCGGGCCGGGGAGGCCGGTCCTGCCCTGCTCGGGCGCCTCGGGGACCTTGGACCCGCCGGCGAGTGCAGGCCGAGCTCGGCACGTCTCCGGGGCCCTGCGCGACCGCACGTGTGCGGGCGGGCCTACCTCGCCCCAAGGTCCCCACCTTCAGAACCTGGCCAGGGAAGGGCATGTCCACACACTGACCACCCCTGACCTACGCTGACCCCCACCCCACCAGCTGAGGGCCGGGGGAACACCTCCCGGGGTTCACACCCCATCTGCTGGTTGTTGCTCACAGAGCTCTGGGCCCTCCCCTTCCAATCCCGGTGGAGTCGGCTCTTGCCACCTCTTCTTTAATGATTTCTCTGTTCACCTGAAATGCAGAGTTAGAGTGATGTTGCACCTGCTGGTTTACTCCCCAAATGGCTGCAACAGCCAGAGCTAGGCCAGATGTAGCCAGATCCGGGAGCGTCTTTTGGGTCTTGCACACGGGCGCAGGGGCCCTAGCACGCAGGCCGCCCTCCATTGCTCTCCCAGGCCGTAAGTAGGAAGCTGGATGGGAAATGGAGCAGCCGGAACCTGATCGATGCCCGTATGGGATGCTGCCTACCATTCTGGCTGGCCAGAAGTCCCACATCTTAGAGTACCGTCCTGGGGACAGAATCTGCAGAGCGGGGCCACTGTGGCACGGCAGGACCTGTGAAGGGCAGGTGAGATGGGCAGCCAGGCCTGGGAGGAGGGGTAGCCTCTGGGCACCTGGCCCTGGGCCCCAGAATGGCCAGGACAGGGCACTGTGCCCCCCTGGAGTGTTAGAGCCGGAGAGCAGGAGTCCAGCTCCAGCTGGGTTCGGAACTCGCGAAGGGTGCGTGGATGAGGCACAAAGAGGAAAGAAAGAGACCACTAGGATTTCATCATCCTAATGGACCATGCGGGAAAGCTGTCCGCTTTATTTATACAGAATCAGTCAAACTCTGGCTCAGACATTTTACGTCATGGTCAAGTGGGTGTTTCTAAGGATAATTCTGCTGTTTGTTTCACCTAAAAACTCTACAAGTTCCTGCTACAATTTTTTTTTTTAAGATTTATTTTATTTTTTATTGGAAAGGTGGATATACAGAGAGGAGAGACAGAGAGGAAGATCTTCCATCCGATGATTCACTCCCCAAGTGAGCGCAACAGCCGATGCTATGCCGATCCGAAGCCAGGAGCCTCTTCCGGGTCTCCCACGCGGGTGCAGGTTCCCAAAGCTTTGGGCCGTCCTCGACTGCTTTCCCGGGCCACAGGCAGGGAGCTGGATGGGAAGCGGGGTTGCTGAGATAGAACCGGCGCCCATATGGGATCCTGGGCGTGCAAGGCGAGGACCTTAACCACTGCGCCACCGCGCTGGGCCCTACAATTCTTATTCTACAAGTTAATCTTGTATCACAAAGAAAAGGAGAACCTAAAGAATGAGGAAAGAATGAAAGCCTAAATACAGGTCCCTTGATTAGCATAAGGTCAATGGGGACAGCCAAGACAGTGGGAATAATAGAAGGCCCTTTTGTAAGACGTTATTATTGACATTAACCTCCAGCTCACACTGAGTAAAAGGCCAGCCTCACAGCAGCAAACAATGCCTGGATGGATTAGAGTTCTTCGGAAGGGTGGTCCAGTGTCCATGCAAGGGGAGGTGGAGCCAAGTTCAGGTGGTCGTAGACACATCCCCGGGCCCTGCCAAACAGTGGGAAGTTCCTTGCGGCCCTGCCTGCAATGGAACAATACCCTTCACACCTTTGTGTCCCCCACATCCACTGCACGGACCCCAACAAAGTGCGCTGGGGTGGGGGCTGGGGTGTGGTCGGGGCAAGGCTTGTAGTTCACGCTCCAGTACCCACGGCCAGGGCTGACCTTGGCTCTGGGGCGGACTAGCTGGAGCGGCTAGGCGGGCCACCTCATCGGGGGACAAGTAATCCCAGTGTCTTCCCGGGACCGTGCAGGGCCTGAATGTGGCCCCACCCTGCGCAGCCCAGGAGCAGAGGGGGTGCTGCAGGGCCTTGTGCTGTGCAGCAGAGACTGGCATGGGGCCCAGGTACCCGGAGCTCCCACGCTTAGCGGCGGGGCACTCCGGCCTGAAAGACCCATGTCGTAACACGCTGCTCTATCTGCTCAGGGATGCACTTGGAATCGGCTCCCACTGCTACATTAGCTGGGGCTGGCGCAGTGGGTAAAGCCTCCACCTGCAGTGTCAGCATTCCATACGGCCACAGGTTCAAATCCTGGTTGCTCCACTTCCCATCTAGCCCCGGTGCGTGGGCCCCTGTGCCCATGGGAGACGTGGATCCCGGCTCTGGTCTGGTCCAGCTCTGGCTGTTGTGGTGAGCTTGACTTGAGACCTGGAGTACAATTTTTAAAAATTTATATTTATTTATTTTTATTGCAAAGTCAGATATACAGAGAGGAGGGCAGAGAGAAAAGATCTGTCTGGCCGGTGCTGCGCCAATCTGAAGCCGGGAGCCAGAAGCTTCTTCCAGGTCTCCCACATGGTGCAGGGTCCCAAGGCACTGGGCCGTTCTGTTGTGCCCAGACTCTGAGATCCCCAGCAATCACAGGAGTCTGAAGTCGATCCAAGAGCACAAGGATGGTTTATTCAAGCTCAGCACAGCCGAGCCTGGTTCTTGGTTGAGAGCAGGCAGCTGGCTGACCGACCATTCAGCCGGCTGGGACCAACAGCCCTTACAGGAGTATGGCCCTGAACAGCACATTCACAGGGTTTTACAGGGGCAGTCCACAATAGCTTGAAAAGGAGCAATTCACAACAGCCTGCACGGTGAGGGGAAATAGCACACATTCCCTGGCTATCGGCTGGACAGCCCAGGCCTGCGGCCACTAAGGGAAGCACCCACTTACTCACTTGGAGCCACCTGTGAGATAACCAGACTTAGGTGGGCCTTGATTCAGAATTGGGGCCCGTCAGTGCTAAAGGTCACATAGGCCATTTGCTCTGCAAGCTCACACAGTTTCTTAGTAGAAAAGAGCCGTGAGCAAATGGTTGGGGCTTTGATACTGAGGTTCTTCAGTCCTTGACTGTTCTCCCCGGCCACAAGCAGGGAGCTGGATGGGAAGTGGAGCTGCCGGGATTAGAACTGGTGCACATGGGACCCTGGCGTGTTCATGGCGAGGACCCCAGCCGCTAGGCCATCGTGCAGGAGGAGTAGCAGCCTGTTAGCTGTTATTCTGCTAGATCTAGGTAGCTCCTTTGTGCATTAAAGGGCCAGTCCCCCCAGCCTTCCAGGCGGCTCCCTGCTCAGAGGCGAGAGCTGAGAGGGCCCTTCAGCAGTCCCTTGTACCGCTCTGAGGTCACGACTGTTCACCCCTCACAGGATCCCACGGGCCACTGCGCTGCCTGTGAGTGTCGGAACAGTGTGGGCAAGCCGAGGCGTGGGCGAGCCGGGGCAGGTCCTCCTCCACGACCTCCGGTGACTGCGAGTCCCCACTCCCTCTGGCTAGACAGTCAACTCCTTGTGGAGGCCGAGGTCGCAGAGCTGGACAGCTGCAGCTGATCTGGGTTGCAGGCTCCTCCATGGGCTCGTCACGTGCTGGTTCCCCGGAGCTGCTGCTCCTGGCTGCTGCGTGTGGAAGTCGGGAGACAGTCCCACGCAGGAAGCAAGGGTGGGTACGAGTGTGGCTGTGAGTGGCACAGGCGCTGCCCGTCCAGAGCGTGCAGGAGCCAAGAGGGCGGACTGTTCCACCAGAACAGAGGGCCTCTGGGGATTTGGAGCTCAGCCCAGGGCAAGGGGCCAGAGCAGGTGTGCTGCTGAGTCAGTTCTTTCCAGAAAGATAAGGCGACTTCCTGGGAGCCGCCTGTGCCCTGGGCAGAGTCCAGGTTCTCTCCCCACCCTTGGCCCTTGAATGAGTGGGGGTCGCTGCTCCCCCCAGGGCAAATGCTCACCAGCCATGTGGCCTACCAGGACGGATGACATGTCTCCCTCTGCCAGTGCGTCCTTCAGGTCCCAAAATGAGCTCCTTCCTCCTGGCTGCTGACTCCTCCTCTTCTTTTTTTTTTTTTTTTACAGGTTTATTTTTTATTGGGAAGTAAGATTTTACAGAGAGACAGAGAGAAAGATCTTCCATATGCTGGTTCACTCTACAAATGGCCACAGTGACTGGAGTTGAGCTGACTGGAAGCCAGGAGCCAGGAACTTCCTCCAGGTCTCCAACGTGGGTGCAGGGTCCTAAGGCCACAGGCAGGGAGCTGGATGGGAAGCAGGGTCCCCGGGATTAGAACTGGTGCCCATATGAGATCCTAGTGGATGCAAGGTGAGGATTTAGTCACTAGGCTAGCACACTGGGCCCTTGCTTCAGATTTCCTTCTCTTCTACGACTTATTTTATTTATTGGAAAGGTAGAGGGACAGAGAGAGAGAGATCCTCCATCCACTGGTTCACTCCCAACTGGCTGCAACAAATATCCAGGCTGAAGCCAGGGGCCTGGAGCTCCACGGTCTCCCTGTAGGCGCAGGATTCACTCTGATCATCCTCGACTGCTTTCCCAGGTGCAGGGAGCTGGATCCGAGGCAGCTCTAACCAGCACCCATATGGGATAGTGCCACTGCAAGCGGCGGCTTAACCGGCTGTGCCACAGTGTCAGCTCCCACGATCTTCCCTTGCCTCTGATGTTTGGCAGCTCGTGTAGCTTACTCCTGGGGAGAACTTCGTCTGGTACGAGCCTTGCTGCCGTGTGCCAAGCCCCTGGGCTCCACGCCTGCTGTGTGCCCCCGGGTTCCGCGCCTGCCGTGTGCCAAGCCCCCGGGCTCCCTGCCTGCAGTGTGCCAAGCCCCTGGGCTCCACGCCTGCCGTGTGCCAAGC